CGCTGGAGACGATCTCTCCACCATCGACCCCGACGAGAGCATCTTAGATCGCGAATATGGGAGGGGCAATTTGACTGGGGGACCTAGGAGACGCCGACATGATGATGAAGATGAGGGTACAGAGGCATTCGACGATGATGACACGGAGAGCATGGTCAGCATGCCAGTGGATGGTATCAACGGCAAGCCAGGCGTAAGAGCTGAGGAGGAGAAAGAATTACCACCACATGCTTGCGCGTAAGCTCATCATAAGCCTAAACGGGCCTCAACGCAGCTACTAATATTTGATTCCTTGTCCAGATACTGCGGTATACACAATCCAAGTTCCGTCGTTCGATGCCTGGCTTGCAGCAAGTGGTTTTGCAGCGCTCGCGGCAATACCTCTTCCTCCCACATTATCAATCATCTAGTCCGCGCTCGCCACAAGGAGGTACAGCTTCACCCTAGTTCATCTTTGGGAGATACTGTACTCGAATGCTACAACTGCGGTACTAAGAATGTGTTCTTGCTCGGCTTCATACCAGCCAAGTCCGACACAGTGGTGGTGCTTCTCTGCCGTCAGCCTTGTGCATCTATGCCGTCCTCGAAAGACATGAACTGGGACGTATCACGTTGGCAACCCTTGATCGAGGACCGATCATTCCTGGCATGGCTGGTATCTTCACCTTCGGACCAAGAGCAACTGCGCGCACGCCACTTAAGTCCCCAAATGATTGCCAAGTTGGAAGAGATGTGGAAGGACAACGCTTCTGCCACAATTGCAGACTTAGAGAAAGGCGCAGGTGTAGACGACGAGCCAGCACCAGTGCTGCTACACTATGACGATGCCTACCAATATCAGAACGTCTTTGGGCCCCTGGTAAAGATCGAAGCAGACTACGACCGGAAGCTGAAAGAGTCACAATCGCAAGATGGATTGGTCGTTCGCTGGGACTTTGGCCTGAACAACAAACACCTTGCTAGCTTTGTGTTGCCGAAGCTCGAGCTCGGAGACGTCAAGCTGGCTGTTGGAGATGAAATGCGCATCAAGTACACTGGAGAGCTCCGTCCGCCATGGGAAGGGGTTGGCTATGTGATCAAGATCCCCAACAATCAGTCAGACGAGGTCACCATCGAGCTTCGTGCAAAGGGCGACCACAAGTCTGTCCCGACTGAATGCACTCACAATTTCAGCGCAGACTATGTGTGGAAAGCTACTTCTTTTGACAGAATGCAGCTTGCTATGAAGACGTTCGCTGTTGACGAGATGAGTGTATCAGGATACATATTCCATCGACTCCTGGGCCACGAAGTTGCGGCAGCACCGATGAAAACCCAGATGCCCAAGAAATACAGCGTACCTGGACTGCCAGAGCTTAACGGCAGTCAGATCAACGCCGTCAAGAGTGTCCTACAGAAGCCTCTAAGCTTGATTCAAGGCCCTCCGGGTACCGGAAAGACCGTCACCTCGGCCACCATCATCTATCATCTTGCCAAGATCAATGGTGGACAAGTTCTTGTCTGTGCTCCGTCTAACGTGGCTGTCGACCAGCTGTGTGAACGAATCCATAAGACGGGATTGAAGACCGTTCGTGTCACGGCCAAGTCTCGCGAAGATGTCGAGTCCCCGGTCGGCTTCCTCTCTCTTCATGAGCAGGTTCGCATGAATGATAGCAATACCGAATTGGTTAAGCTCAACCAACTCAAGAGCGAGCTTGGTGAACTGTCGAGTCAAGACGAGAAGAAGTTCAAGCAGCTGACTCGTAGTGCCGAGCGCGAGATCTTGACCAATGCGGACGTCATTTGCTGTACTTGCGTCGGAGCTGGCGATCCACGTCTTGCTCGCTTCAAATTTCGCACTGTTCTGATCGACGAATCGACTCAATCCGCAGAGCCTGAGTGCATGATTCCATTGGTGCTCGGCTGCAAGCAAGTCGTTCTTGTCGGTGACCACCAGCAATTGGGCCCTGTCATCATGAACAAGAAAGCGGCAAAGGCAGGTCTAAATCAGTCGTTATTCGAACGTCTTGTCATTCTTGGATGTGCTCCCATCCGGTTGAACGTACAGTACCGTATGCATCCATGCCTATCAGAGTTCCCGTCAAACATGTTCTACGAGGGTTCACTGCAGAACGGCGTAACGATGCAGCAGCGCCTACGTCGCGATGTAGACTTCCCTTGGCCAGTAATGGACTCTCCGATGGTGTTCTGGTCGAATCTCGGTAATGAGGAGATTTCAGCCTCTGGAACATCATATCTCAATCGCACTGAAGCATCCAATGTCGAAAAGATCATCACTCGCTTCTTCAAAGCTGGTGTTCAGCCCAGTGATATCGGTATCATCACGCCTTACGAAGGCCAGCGAAGCTATGTTGTTAGCTCCATGCAGACTAATGGGACGTTCAAGAAGGAGAATTACAAAGAGATCGAGGTAGCCTCCGTTGACGCGTTCCAAGGCCGGGAGAAAGACTTTATTGTATTATCCTGTGTGCGCTCCAACGATCACCAAGGCATTGGCTTCTTGAGTGATCCTCGCCGTCTTAATGTCGCGCTTACTCGAGCCAAGTATGGTTTGGTCATTTTGGGCAACCCCAAGGTCTTGTCGAAGCATCCATTGTGGCATTATCTTCTTTTGCACTTTAAGGAGAAGAATTGCCTGGTCGAAGGGCCGCTATCTAATCTGCAGATCTCTTTGCTGCAGTTCAGTCGTCCCAAACAATCCTACCGCGGGCCCCAACGCTACCAGATGTCTTACCAGCGGGCTTCCGATTTGAGCAATGGCATGGCCAATGGTCGCAATGGCCCTCGTCAAGAGTACAACGATGCTGGGTCCCTCGTCGGCTACATTCCGGATGATGTATCATCCGTGCATTCATCTTCCGTTGGCGGCGGTGTCGGTGTCCCTTCTACTTACCCACCAATGTTTTCTGGATTCCAGGACACTTGGCCTACCCTGAACGGACGTCGGATGAACGGTGCGAAGAGCCGAGCTGGGACCGAGAGCATTGCTGGCGAGTCTGTTGCTGCTAGTGAGTCGGACATCAATGGTCCCGCTAGTACCGTCGATGGCAAAGGAGGAGTTAGTCTGGCTGGCCTCAGCATCAATGATGCAAAGCAAGCCAGTATTAACCAATCGGATCGTCTGAAGCGCTACGTGGAATCTGGTGGACGTCCTGGCGATGGCAGCGTGTTCGGCGGAAGCTCTGCCGGCGGCCGGGTCCCGCGTGGAGATGATGACGATGCTCGAAGCGTCTCTACAGCCTTTGCCAGCCAAGTCGGGCTGGGCAACTACGATTGATCCGACATCCGAAGGCTGACTCGGAAACATGGTGGTTGATTAATGGAATTCAGTTGACAAGACCAGATACAACATGACGACAAGGCTAGATGCTCCTGCATGCGCTTGGGTACTCCGAGCAGTCATGGCACTACTCGAGAGACTCCGGGTCTTGATGAGCGACGCGAGGCTTCGGAGAAAGCTGCAAGGCTGATACGCCAGCCGCAGAGATGCTCATGCATGCGAAAAATTGCAAGTCGGGAGGAAATGAATTGCGGTCATGGAGGCGAGGTGGAAAGCGCAACTGTCTCTACGGCATCATGTCAGATAATGTTGCAGCTCAGTGGTGGTTGTCCGTGGAGGGATGGCGATTGTTCTGCGCCGTTCCGGGTCTTGCCCCGTCGAATCAAGTGATGCCCCGAGCGGGTCCGCAAGACACGGCAACGTGTATGCAGTTGCCGGTGCATTGGGACTTGCAGCATGTGCAGCACTGACTTTCCTTTCTTCATCATGCGTTTGATAGATCGTCGGATTGTGAATGCAAAACCCGTCTCTACCTTGTTTGTGATCCCGCTCTCCTCGAAACCGGGACATTGCGCGAAAAAGCTGGCCTAGCCACGCCCAGCAGATTTCCGATGCGCGTGGTGGTCTCGTAGATAAGTAGAGTATTTGGAAGGATCTTGCAGGGTTGAGGCGCGTCTGCAACTCTGCATTGCTGTGCAGTGTGCACGCTCTCTTTTGCCTCTGGTCTAACCGAAACTTGACGCGATCAGTCAGGAGAGATAGCGATGGGATTTTCATCATATGCGTTCCAATCTCCTTTGCAGGCCCACTCGTTCCCCGAGATTGTCAGATTGTGGGTCAGGATAGCCGTTGGGAGTAGAATATGTACCTACATTACCGTACTTAGACATGTGCTTACATCCCACGTTGACGGACGTTGATCAAAAGTATTATGCGCCGCTTAACGTACCTTACCCTTGTTAATGTGATTCATGCAGGGCGCCCCGAGGGAAGGAGATTAGGGGAAAGTTAAAGTACCTTAGGACATGGGAGTCTGTCTGAATGGGCTCTAGTGGAAACCAGGCAAAAAGCCACACTTCATCCGGAAGAAGTAAATGATCAACACGGGGCGGCGCAATCAGAGCACTTGGCGTCATCTTTGTCTTAGAATCTGACCATTAAGGAAAGAGCAGGCAGACTAAGGGAAGAAATAGAAGAAATAAACTTGGATCTAATCGGCTGATGATCGTATCCCTGATCATCCCTGATCATCCCCTGGCTCATCCTTATTTTCCCTGGTCCATCAAACTTGGCATTGGTCTGTCTTTCCTTTTCCTTTCTACCTATTTTCCTTTCCAACCATGGGCTACCATTACCAACCATACGAGTAATGAGACGGTAAGATTACTTGACCTTAACAATCTGTCCGGTGGTACCTAAGTCTAAACAGCTTCGATCGTCTCCACCTACATCAATTAGTCTCCAACAATCTCCTGATGCTGCACTTTTAAATCTATTCATGTCAGCCGCCACGATCACACTACCGTAAAGTATTATGGGGTCGTTCGTTTCAGGAGCATCTGCTCCGCCATGGCCTTCGACATTCCATTCTTTTGTCTCTTCCTTCTCTTTGTTACTCTCCAACCCCACCACCATCGCTATACTACTCACCCTCACTCTCGTACCCCTCGTCCTCTGGATTGACACCATCGGCAAAAATCCTGGCTCTTCTCTCAATACGATGCCGGGGAAAGACCCTTCCGCTGACTTCAAGGGGAACATCAAAGTCAACAACAATCCCCCCACAAAAGAAGATCTGGAGAAAATCGCGGACCTGCCTGTACTAGACAAGGATGGGAAGAAGTGTACGTTCAAGAGCTTGTATGCCGACAATGAGAATGGACCGCGCCGGGTTCTGATAATATTTATACGGCATTTCTTCTGTGGGGTAAGGAACCCAATCAACCCCTTCCTGGCCGTGAAAGACACTGACAAACATCCACAGAATTGCCAAGAGTACCTCCGTACCTTCGCATCCTCCATTACCCCCGAGTCCCTCTCCTCCCTCTCCCCACCCACCCAAATTGTCGTCATCGGCTGCGGCCAACCGCACCTCATACCCATGTACATTCAAGAAACCGGATGCACCTTTCCCATCTACGCCGACCCTACACGGAAATTATATCATCTCCTCCGTATGACGAGCACCCTGACTCTGGGCAAGACGCCCGAATACATGCAGCGCTCTATCCTGTCCATGGCTGTGAGGAGCTTCATTCAAGAGCTGAAGTCGGGCAGAAACATGCTTTCCGGCGGCGATTTCCGACAAGTGGGTGGAGAATTCTTCTTTCAAAACGGGAAGGTGACCTGGTGCCGTCGCATGCGGAGTACGAGAGACCATGCGGAGATCCCCGTTGTAAGACAACAGCTGGGACTGGACGACACGCCAGCGCCACGGAGGAAGAGGTGGAGCGCTGCCGGTATAGGAGATGGTATCACCAGGCGATTGAGTAATCGAAGACCCATGAGTTGGGCTGGAGGGCCGAGAAGTAAGAGCGGGAATAGGCTGGAGAGACCCGCCAGTGGGATGGACTTCCTCAGAGAGGAGGATGGGGAGAAGTTGATAAACGGAAATGGGGTTGCAAGTGGGCATGATGTGGGTGCCAATGGCGCTGCCACGAATCGTGTTGCTACCAACGGCGCTACCACGAACGGTACGGCCAACGGAGCTACTGTCAACGGATCCGGCAATGGTGGTACCACGAACGGCCGCGCAATCTTGGAAAGAATCAACTTCGATACGTAAGGCGTCTGATTGGGTCGTCAATGCTGAAATTTTCCGATACCCTGGTACTTTGCTATAGTTGCACGGCTTTGGTCCATTTGTACAGCACACAATCATGTAAATATTTTGATGAAACCTGAACGCATCGGCTGTGCTTACAGTCCCATGTTGATCGCGTCCTCTCCTTTGCAACAACAGCGCTCCGCATTTGGCCAATACACACGACCCGTTACCGTTCAACCTCCCTCACTCACTCACTTCCATCCCTTGCACCGCCCTACTCCCCCCGCCTGCCCAACTCCCCCCATCCCACCATCGAAAGCACCGGAAGAAGAACATTCGGGCTGCGAAAATAGAAAACTTCATCTCTTCCGCACCTGCAATTCGGATCTTTGAACCGTGTCTTACCACAGAGAAGAAGAAAGAAGAAAAGAAAGAAGAAGAAAAGAAGAAAAGAAGAAAAGAAGAAAAGAAGAAAAGAAAAGAAAAGAAGAAAAGAAAAAAAGAAAAGAAAAGAAAGAAGAAAAGCAGAAGAAGAAAAGAAGAAAAGAAGAAAAAAGAAGAAGAAAAGAAAAGAAGAAAAAAAAAGAAGAAAGAAAAAAGAAGAAGAAAAGAAGAAGAAGAAAAAAAGGGCGGGGGAATCCGGTGGATGGAAGTAATAAAAAACTCGAACGAGGCAAGTCCACACCCAGCGGGCTGCATTCCGAAGGCTTGTCATCGTCATCGTCACCGTCATCGTCATCGTCATCGTCCTCACCACTCCATACCCCCTCTTTACACGTGTCGTTCAAGGATAGAATCGGTCCATATGTTTTTGGGATCAGATACTGTGGTCCCGACTCGAAGTGTGGCGCTTTTTTGTTTTGGGGGAAGGGATGTGGGGATGGGGGGATGGGGATGGGGAGGGGATGGGGGAGGGGGATGGGTAGGGGGATGGGGAATGGGGTAGGGGGGATGGGATGGGGGATGGGTAGGGGGGATGGGGGGGATGGGTTGGGTAGGGGGGATGGGGAGGGGGGATGGGGAGGGGGGATGGGTAGGGGGGATGGGGAGGGGGGATGGGTAGGGGGGATGGGTAGGGGGGATGGGGAGGGGGGATGGGTAGGGTGGGGATGGGGATGGGGATGGGTAGGGGGATGGGGGTGGTGGAGTGGGACTGGGACTGGGACTGGGAGTTGGAGTGGATGGGGGGGTGGGGGACCATAGAGTGGGTTGGAGAAGAAGAAGAAGGAGAAGAAGAAGTAGAAGGAGGAGGAGGAGGAGAAAAAGAAGAAGGAGGAGAAGAAGAAGGAGGAGAAGAAGAAGGAGGAGGAGGAGGAGAAAAAAAAGAAGAAGAAGGAGAAGAAGGAGAAGGAGGAGAAGAAGGAGGAGGAGAAGGAGCGAGTCCGCATACGCCAATGGGCTCGGTCTGGCTTCTGGTCCATACGGTATATGATGGCGTGTTGGGCCGCTGTGAAGGGGATGGGGGTGAGGGTTGGGGATGGGGTGCTTTGAGGGGGGTGAAGGGGGGCGAGTGAGTGGTTTCAGTGGTTACTGTTGTTGGTGGGGGAGGGGGGGAGGAGGGGGCAAGAGGGAGAGAGGATGTTCAGTGCTGGGGGGATGGTTGTAGGCGTGGTTGTGGTAGTGAAGGGGAGGGAGGTGGGATTGTTGTTGTCGTTGTTGACGATGGCGGTGTTGAGTGGAGGAGGAGGAGGAGGAGAAGAGGAAGGAGGAGAAGAGGAAGGAGGAGAAGAGGAAGGAGGAGAAGAGGAAGGAGGAGAAGAGGAAGGAGGAGAAGAGGAAGGAGGAGAAGAGGAAGGAGGCAGTGTGAGAGCGCCGTGCTGGCTTTCTATACCTTTCCATCCCCGGCGGAATGGCCGTTTCGGAATGTCTACACGGAAGTGCAAGATGGGTTCGTTGTTCAGGACGGACGTACGTGAAGCGCTCAGCGGGTCCATCGTCTTCACGTTGGTCCGTCGGATCTAACTCGAGGGTCATCCCTCGTCGCTTCTGTTCTATAAATCTACATACTCCTACCCGAATCGACTTGGGCGAAGAAGGTCTTGGTCTGAATTTTCCGGGTTGGTTGAGATGCTCCTCATCTGGATAAGGTAGATAGACTGTGTGTGTGTGTTGCTCTCAGCGACAGGGGGCTGTCAGGGGGCCCCTTTCCGAGCTAGTTCCTGTGCTGTGATTGTGGTTATGGGTCGGGGTGGCGGGATAGTGAGTTTTCGTATGAGGATTGCATTTACCGCCTTGATGGAGAATGGACTTGCTGCTTCGTGTGGTTGGTCGAGTGCGGGATTGTTCTAGGACTAGAAGCATGTTAGAGTTGACGGGGGTTTTGAGATCCTCTCCCCTCACAATCTCTTGCTCTTTCGATGGCACTGGGGTAGCTGAACCTAGGGAGGCAATGTGCTTTGCAACCCAACGCGGCATCTTGTCTATAGGATGCATTTCAGCCGTGTACGAGTTGTTCTATTTGACGTTCATTGTGGAGGCTTGTACATTTGGAGATCCATGATTAAGACTGTGGAAAAACACACGGACGGCTGTTACGTGGAGACTTTCTCAAACTGCAACCCATCCGTAATGTTTCCGAACTTCGCACCCCACAGATCGGAAAAATACGTGCTCCTCGGCATCCACGGCGCCTTATCTCCCGTCCTCGGCAGCTCCTTTGCTCCCCTCACCACGTATGTCGACGAGAGATTCAGTGCCGGCACAGACTTCATGCCTTCGATATGCTCCCGTCGCGGCACTGCTGAAGTCACCCCTTTGGCCTTCATAGACTTCAGCAGCCTGGTCACCAGCAGTGCCGTCGCGTCAGCGCCGAGCGTCCACGATGCATTCGTGTACCCAATCACGGTCGCCACGTTCGGCACGTCCTGCAGCATCACGCCTTTCCAGAGGAACTTTTCGCCAATGGTAACGGGAACGTTGTCCACGGAGATACGTGCTCCGCCTGCAATTTTCAGCTTCAGCCCCGTCGCTGTGACTATGATGTCGGCGTCAAGCGTCTGGCCTGAGGCTAGCCGAACGCCTGTTTCCGTCACGGTGGTGATGGTGTCGGTGACGACGGAGGCGTTGCCGGCGCGCATGGCGCGGAAGAAGTCGCCGTCGGGGCAGAGACACAGGCGCTGCTCCCACGGGTTGTAGCGCGGTGAGAAATGAGGGTCGTGTGGTATGTTGTCCGGTAGCTCTTTCAGGGTGGCCCGTTTGATCAGGTTCCGGGCCGCGAGTGGGTAGAATGTGCAAAATTTTATGAAGAGGAAGCCTAGGATTAAGAATTTTAGCCGTGTGATGCGGTAAGCTATCCAGTCTGGGAGGAGCTTTTGGGCCCAGTGCCCGAAGGGATCGATCGCTGGCAGCGCGAGGATATAGCTAGGGCTCCGTTGCAGCATAATGACATGGGAAGCTGTTTCTGCGAGCGAGGGGATCAGAGTTATGGCCGTTGAGCCACTGCCGACGACGATGATTTTCTTGTCCTTGTAGTCGAGATCTTCGGGCCAGAACTGGGGATGGACGACAGTCCCGGTGAATGCCTCGATACCGGGTATATGGCTGCTCAAAGCTTCGTCATAGTCGTAGTATCCGGTACCAAGGATGATGAAGCGTGCGTAAAAGTGTGTTTTTCGACCCTCTTCATCGACAAGTAAAGCCCAGGTTTGTTGGTCCGAGGACCAGTTGGCCGAGACCAGCTTGCGGTGGAATTTCACTTTCTGATCGATACCGTACAATGCAGCGGACTCGCGGATGTACTTGCGAATGGAATCGCCGTCCGCGATGACTTTTTGCTCTGCCCATGGCCGCCACGCAAAGCCGAAGGTGTAGAGGTCGGAGTCGGAGCGGAAGCCTGGATACCGGAAGAGATCCCATGTGCCTCCTATGCCGCCGCGCGCTTCGAGAATGGTGTAGCTGGCTGATGGTAGCTCGGTCTGGATTCGATAGGCGGCATTGATGCCAGAGATACCGGCGCCGACTATGATGATGTCGAAGAGGTCGTTGCACGCTTTATCCGTGGAGCCCATGGTTACCTCTTCTTCTGATCCAGTGGACCTATCCTTTGATGTGCGCTGTATATATATACTCAATGCTTGTGATGACTGTTCATTGTTGCTGAAGTGCTTCTGTGGGCTATTTGAGAGGTTTATAGGTTATCAACATTTACTTGTATGTTGTTGTATAACTCTCTAGATCGCGCTCATTGCGACCTTTGTTATTGAAGTTCTATTGAACTTTGAATCTTAGAAGCTGACGGCTAAAACATGGAGCGAGCATTAATTTGCATATACCAAGCGAATACTGATCATTATCATCATTTGGGATATATAGGAAACGCAGAGATATCGGTTGCCACCTTGGGCTGGTCAAGGCTTGGCGCCAAACTGTACCTCGGTCCAACAAATCCACTTAGCCAGCGCACACGTACCCACTAGCCCTTGAGTCCTTGACAAAGCACCAGAAGGGCCCTGAGCTGTTATGTATGGGGGCGATGCCCCAGTTACAGTATATGAGCTCAGTTGTAGTGAATCTTCTTTCTCCTCTTCTGCTTGAAGGCAGGCGTAATCAAGCAGGCTTCAGCCTTTTCATGCAGACGTTGCACAGTCGGTATGCATGCGTCATTAATTTTAATACCTCTTATTGTCCATCATTCCAGTAGCCTCCATCCTTCTTGTTAGGGAAACAGGTCTAACGGTTACAAATGGATCCCGTTACAGGCATCGCGTTGCGCAGGCTCTTTTCTGTTCGACGTCTTTGACAAATCGAAATATATGCTGGGGCACGGCCTTTCTGTTAGTGGAAAGCTTGTTAATATCGTGGGAAGACTAAGGTACTCACCCTTTCTATATAATTTATCACTAAATCAATCTTAACGAGTACTGGTTTTTGACTATCTGATTCTCAGGGAGACCCCCTAAAACCCTCGGACACTTCGGGAGCTCTTTAAGGGCTCCCCGAGAGCTTGTATCGGAGGAGCTGTTAAAGCAAGCTCGAAATTTGATTATTTTAGTGGTATTTGATTAATTTCGAGCTTGCTTTGACAGCCCCTCCGATATAAGCTCTCGGGGAGCCCTTAAAGAGCTCCGAAGGGCTTAAATCAAGGAATTTTAAGGTGTCTAACCCTGAGAATTGAGAGAGACGTTATGATATACTAGTTTTTAGTATATCTTTACGAATACTTTATCAAATTTCGTCTACGCTATATTATTTAAAAGCGTATAACTAACTCTATAACTTTATAAACTTATTCTATTATTATATTTTTGATTAAGAAAAGGAATCAAAAAAGGTAGATTTGAGGATTTTGAAGTTCTTTTCTAGCTTCCTCTTTTGGACGTACCCGCGTGTACCCGCGTTTAGATCGAAAATGAAGAAATAAGGTGTATTTTAGACTAGATATCGTGAAATCCGATGATCTGATTGGTTACTAGCATCTTAACGTAGAAGCCATTTGAGATTTCAAGTCTTGAGCATTGAGAAAGCAAGCTTTCCGATCAGGCGTATGGATTGTACTCGACCGCGAGAAGCCTCGCCAATGTCTCTGCACAACTAGGGGCAAAGTCACTGATCGAAGAGCGCATGCTCATACAGTAGGGTCATAGCGTAGGGATTAGGCATGTCGCAAAGCCGACAGAGGGTAAGGCAAGGGAACTCGACGACCGTCTCGGAGAAAACAATGCGCTGTATAAGACCGTAATGCAGGCTCTCGCTGCATCGAAGAAACCCTGACCGATGTTGATAGCCTCACAGCTAAACATGGTCTGCAACTACCTATTCGAAGAAAGAAGTGCCCCAGATGAGAATCACGTCGACAATTGAGCCCATGCAGCCCCTACTTCCACACCGCTCACGACATGGATCGGTCCCTAGCGGTGATCGTCCAGGACTATCGGAAACTCCGAAAACAACGCACGATCGAAGCCGCCGTATCTAGGTCTCGATCTCAATACGCAAGAACTTTCAATGGGCCATCAAGGATAAAAGTGGCTTTGACATGCTCTTAGATCGCCTTCGCTATCATAACGACAGTCTATACTGTTTGCTGCCACAGGAGAGTAGTAGTATTATCACAAGAGACGTATCGGCCAACTTGATTGACGCGCAACATCCAAGAGGCTCTTGCAATATACAGCTGTCGCATTGCCATCGGCACAAAATACCATCCAGGACAGTTTCGCCACTTCCCATTACACGACGATAGCCTCAGCTGCCATGACTTCCTTGCAGATTGCGGATGTTGATCATTCGCCACTAGTCAACGTCTGGATCAACGAGACGTCTATCGGCTACAACGATGAAGGCTCCAATCTTGGTTCTCTCTCCAAGCAAGGATATGCGCCGACGCGAGTCTTTGTAGAGAAAAAGATGTCGATGTGCTTCGCCAATAATGATGTAGATGATCTTAGACTCAAAGCGACCCTTGAACGAGCCAGCGAACTGGCCTTGTTGTTGAAAGGGCCACGACGTTTTGGGTTCGCTACTATGCCATGCTTGGGTGTTACTACTGATCTGAATGACAAAAGTATTGGACCAGCTGGCGAAATGAAGCTGGTCTCTGAGCTTGCGGCAGCTGCGGACCCCGTTGCGCACTCCGTGAGTTTGCACGATCTCCTGTTCTTGGAGGAATGTCGCTCCTAGGAACCGCCAGAAATTGGTGTGAGATTTCGACTCGTGACTTCCTTAGCAAACGCTTTATATGGAATGCACTTTACTGGATGGCTCCACCGGCGTGAGCTGTCAGGCTGATGACTCTGTAGCCTGTGATCAAGAGACAGAGTCTCGGCCGAGACTTCTGCCCCACCATCAGAGTTTTGTATGTACTCGGCTCCAACCCCGGGTTCCTCACTGCCTGTGTTGGAGACAACACTCACACTTCTGCTCACCAGAATATTGGCTGTTTCATCGGCCGTCGGCTTCTGGGACTCTAAGTCCATCTCTTTGCCCACCACGTAGTGATTCTTATAAGCAGACCTCGTGACTATTTTGGGGCGTGACGGACCCTGAATTGACTCCACCGTTCCTGAAGATAAGAAGTATCGAATAAGAAGCAAACGCAGGAACATGGTGGGCGCTCCCCAAACTTGAGTAATTCCTGAGTCTCTGAACAGCACCGAAAACACCCGAACTCAACTGCAAAGCTAGTGTCTCCCAATACGTAACGTTTCGACTGTTCCAACAGCTTCCCGAGTGCCGCTTTCTGGCCCTTTCTTGCAGTCCGAGAGTGTTGTAGCGGGTATCGGTAATGACGGACTCGAGCAAGAGAAGCCGCTTACCGATGCTGCGAGAATCCAACCAGTCATCCCACCAGAGCCCCCTTGGTGGTTCAATCCTCGAGATCATCCGCAAGACAGTCACCAAAATTGACACGGCAACGAAGAACAAGCACCCAGCCTCAATCATGTCGCTGCGGTGGTGATGGGCCACTTTGTCGCGTTCAGAATCTTGCTCGTACTTCGCGAGAAGTGTCGTGGTAGATGAATGGGAGGGATATCTCCGATAGGTATATTAGGAATTCTGCCGAGATGGCGGTGGTGGGGGTCGCTCACTGTACAACAGTACCCATCGCAGGTAAGCATTGCCCCTTTGAGGATTCGAGCATGTTTTATTAGGCACTCTGGCGGTCGGTTTCAGCAAAGGTAAGCATTGAAAAGCGGGGCGCCACGGCGGTCGTCTTCACAGAGTCGACATTTCAAGCCTCGGCAGTAGCTACTCACGCTCGCTGCTGACGAAGACGGTGTGACGGGAAGGACTCACCGCGTATTCTTACCCTCCCATCCCATTTCGTGCTAAGTATTCAATCCCCAGTGAACCCTCAGGCTTGGAAAAACTCGCACTGGTGGTGGGTTAGACGCTCATCGTAAACGCGAAGTAATGTGCATGATGATCATTCTGTGCAACACTTTTCGGAGCAGCAGGCTGGTTTTACTCCGGTAAGCGAGTTGGCCTGTCGAAAGAGGGTATAGACTCTCACATAAGACACATGTATCATGTGCCAATTGGATGTTTGAGATTCATTCTGGATCGTATCTCCGTACGACAGTAGGATTTCATAACGCGATGCTTTTCTTTTCTATTTAATTGGATTCTGTACAGCAAAAAAACATTTGACCGCCGCCACACCAACCAATCACTGGTAGGTTTTGCCTATTCCAGCGCTGTTGGTGGTCAGAGTGATCCGCGCATCTCACCTCAGCACACGGTATGGCGTAATGTCGGGGCCAATAACTTTGGACTGAACGTCGTGCTTTATAGTTGTATGGGGACTGTCAATTTGAAACACACAGTCAAGTCTAATGGTGCGTCCTGCGGATCAAGTGCTAGACTGGAAGTAGGATCATACGGTGAATTATTCTCTGCAGCCTGTGCAGCAGCAGCTCGACCGCGCTCACCTTGCCGGACATGTGAGCGGTGCGGTGTACCTTCTTTTGTCTTTGGGTGGATATGTCGAGTAGGCTGTCGTCGTAAAGCTATGGCGGTCTTGTGTCAACATCGCGTCTATGACTTGGGCAAGGAGAGCGAAGACTGGTGGTACGTACCGCACTCCAAGGGATTCCCTCCAGTCTTGCCGTGTTTTCAGAGCCATTGACTCGCCGAAGCGCAGGCTACGAAGCTGCATGCTCCATTTTGGAATAACTCTCGACTGCGGGCCTGGCTTTTTAAAGACTTCGTCACGAGGCAGAGCGGCAGAATGAAATGGAGTTGACTCCCTTTCAGGTGCCCTAACCCTTTGTACATTATGTTTCAGATTACGATTTTCCTTTGAGAGTGTACAGTTATTCACTGTCATTTAGATGGCTTGATTGTTAATGGTCAGAGTGCAATCTGGTGAAATGTTTCGACTTTCGCAAGTGCTACTACTGATGTTGGAGTTCAAGGGTTTGAGCAAAGTGCTTGTAGAACTACTGTCTAAGTTGAAGGAGACTGCATCGATACCAGTCATAATCCCCTGTCTTGCTTGCAAAGTATTGTCCTTTTCGAGGACCCACACTATCTGCGTGGTTCCTCGATCACATCAAGTCTGAGGGGTGAAGATGGACGAATTTCCAGCGGATGGCCCCTAGCGATGATCCTGTCTGTCAGATCGGAGATACACAACGCCCTTGTCATAGGAAAATTGGCGGGTTACCATATGGATCAAGTTACGTGTTTGGATTCTCCACTCATCGTTGAGAAGCTTAATCCACGTATCCTGGACCCTTCAGCTTTTACGTCAAATCGGGCAAGAGGGACAAGCATCCCGAACCTGATACTGTCCATGAGCATAGTTGACCTATACTGTCAAAGACTCAGTGGCGTGTCTTTCTGGACTCATACAGAGTGGCGTTGCTCGGACGCAAGTGAGAGGAAAGGAAGGAGAAAAAGGAATCAAAGCAGACAGAAGGCCCGAGAATGCATATTTGAAAAGATACAACGCAACAACCCTTACCTCTCCATAATACTTGCCCCTCCCGAAATACGTCGCAGTGAAATACGACACGCTCCTAGCCTCACCGGCGCTTGATATCTCAACAACCTGCGTCCCATGAGCGTGCTGCGCATCCACGGGCGCGAAAAATCGCTCCAGACCCTCTCTTTGACGGCGCCCAGGGGCGTCAGTAGGTCGAGCGGGCTGGAATAATTGGCGGTCACATTTTCTGTAAACACGGAAGAGAGCGCGTCGAGATTTTTACCGTCGATGGCTAAGGGGTAGAGGGAGAGCGTGTTGTTGAGGATTTGGGCAACGGCGTCGGCGGATTGGGTACCCGTGGCTTGGGTGTAGTCTGCTGGGACGTCGTGAAGGGGGATGGGGCTCGGAAGGTTCGGTGGGAGGGTCGGGTTAGACAGGCAGGTTCTGTGGGGTGAGTGGGATTTGGCGGCGACGACGAAGACGGATACGAGCGCGATGGCTGCGGACTCGATTTCAGATGCGGGAAGTGTTGGGTATGGTATCTGTCGGAAATGTATGCAGGATTGATTGATTGGATAGCTACGGAGGGTCGTGTGCTACTTATACCATGTGAAGCCTAGACTGGTTTGCCACTATGAGGTGTAGCTACGACACACAGTGCTGCAGCAACTCTCAACATTATCTCTTTCTGTAGTTTTGATTGTGGTCTGGGAATGCAATGACAATGGCGTAGCTGAGGGCAGACGCGGGGTCAGATAGAGGTTCGGCACTTGGCGGAGGTGGGGTAGAGTGAAGTCGTGTACATGAGTCTCCTGCACATGTACGAGTTCTTACCTCTTGCGTACTGACGCAAGCGGATTGTCGAGAGGCCCCCCGCCCCCCCTCCAAGGCAGAAAGATATGCCATGGGATATTTGGCTAGGATCCGCATGTTTTGGCAAGTCTGCAATCTGTTCGTGTTTGCAGGACTTTCTACGTTCGAAAGAAGCCGTTCTATCACGTCTTCCCGTGAGGGTCCATTCGAGTTAGCCCCGGGGAAAAGGGATGTGTACTCGATTGCCAGAATCGAATTCATGTATACGTGAACGGGGAATGCTATATCGAGTCTAGACGGGCTCATCGCCGTCCATACTTTCGTGGCCAATGCCAAACACAACAAGGAAAGTCTTTCTGTCACGCCATCCGCGAACGCACGCCTGCATTATCACGCTTGAAACACGCATCCCTCCCCACAGGTTCAGCAAAGATGGCTAGTACAATTTCGGTATCTGGGGATGTCGCGATGCAGACTTCGTAATGCCGATAAAGGTCGAGCGGTTCACAATTTTGCTGCTGTACCCCAATCCGTCAACCCTCGGTTATCATTTGCTGACTCTGGATGGAGCCCCTGGAACGGATACTCCGAGACGGTATGCGACCCAACAGGCGTGCCACAAAGGAAGGGTTCCGCTGCGGACTGCTTGGACTCTTGCTCAACGAATCGCCAGCGTTGGAGCTTGGCGGAGTCATCAAGAGTGGCGGTAGTCCATCAAGCACCTCCTTTTGATCCCTGACTTGCTTCTCCAACCACGCCAACTTATTGTCTTGCTCTGCATGGTCAGCAGCATCCTGCCGCGCATGAATCGCAGCGCCCTGGTCCATGAGCTGTTGCTTGAGTTGGAAGAAACGCCTGTTGCGTTCGAGCTTCATTTCCGCCTCGACTTTGGCCATCTTTTGCTCAAGAAGTACCTTTTCAATCGACAGATAGCGAGGGTCCGACAGCTCTACGTAGCTGATCCCGTCCGGAACTGAGTAGTCTGCTTCATCGTTTGCGACGTCGTTAATAGAAGCTTCCTCGTCGCTCCTAGATTGCAGGACCATCGGGCTTCCAAGCGTGGGCACCTCCGGTGCATGCGGTGGTGTCAATGTTTTCGGACCAGTCTTTTCTCTTCTACCGCCCACCATCGCTTTACCGCCAGAGTCGTCTAGATCTGCGTCAAGTACGTCCTGCAGTTCCATGTTGATCTCCAAACCAGGTCGTACGAACAATTCCCAAATCGAGGGGAGGATTATTTCGCCCGTAACGTGGGATATGTTGTAGTAGCCCTTCTCGACCATTGACCTGTGTTTAAGTTCATGCCCAAAAGCTTCCTGGATCAGATTATGGAGCCCCTTTGGACGAATTAGCGCAAGACAATCGAGTAAGAATTTAGATCACCCACCTCCCAGGTCTGGCACATGTCGACGGGGAAGATGAACTTCCGGCCAAACCAATCCCTCATTATGACCGGCTGTTGTCTCGAGGGTTCTGCCTTCCACGGCGTAATGTGCACTTGCTGCCTCTGCACCGAGTCCACTGCTTCCGTATAATTATTTTCGCGCTGCATGGCATCTTCTGACGTGTCCTCTGTTGCGATAGATACGACGGCTGCGGTTGATGGTGGGACTGCTGCTGCCGCTGCCGCTGCCGCTGCCCTCTCGTCTTGTTCTGCCTTTTCGTCTAGAATCAGCTTCTTCAAACGAGCGAGCTCCTCACTATCCGTTTGCTTATCTTCGGGGGGAGGAGATGGAGTGGTTACTGGCAGCGGGGGAGGAAGTGGAGTGAATACTGGCGGGGAAGGAAGTGGGGGGAATACTGGCGGCGCATACCACTGTTGCGGTGTATACGTTGGGTACGATTGATGCGGGTAGGGCACATGATATGGCTGGGTTGGAACATTCTCATCTCTTGCTGGTCTGTGGGGATAAAAATAGGAATCGTTGGTAGAATTCCAGCGTCCAGAATTCCAAAAACTCTCCTCTCCGGAAATGACGCCGGGATCGACAGTAGTCCAATTGAGCAAGAGTGTTTTGGCCGTCTCTTCCGCTCGAGTCCTGAGATGGTTCGCGTCTCCAGGCCGAGGTCTTACGATCAATGCTGTGACACTCGATTCGTGAGGTACAACGCTCAGGAACCATTGCGCGGTTGGCGTTACTATCTCCGTTTCAGGCGGTGACCATTGGCTCTTGCCGAATTTTGTGTCTAATCCCTTCGTACTTGCTGTAATTTGGGGTCCGCTGGGCTCCATAGCAAGGTCTTCCATAGGAGAATGTACAGTGTCATCCGCGAGTGGGATCTCGGGCGCAATAAAATAGTGCACAGAAGCAGGGGACTGAGATTGTGGGTCTGAATGGATCCCTGAATGGCTTGGCTGGCTGATAGAAGCGCTATCAGCGTGAACCAAGTCTGGACTTTCATTGACCGATATCAGTCTGCTACCACCTGAACCAGCTTCTGAGACCTTGTAGTCTTGGACAATATGTTCGGAGTGTGATGACGATCTCGCCGGTACACTTAGGTCAGGCGACACATCACGTGATCTACGATTATTGTCCTCCACCCCCTTCTGGATATTCTTTCTTTCCTCCATCTTTTCCTTTGCTTCCTTGTCTTCATTAGATGCGACACCCCAGGCGCTCCATGAGCCATCTGCCGCTGCTACCGTGTTTTCCGGTGCGTTGTCAATGACAGTCGGATTTGGATTCTTGGAAACATCGTTGAGCCAAGCGTTTTTCTTGTGCTCCTTTTCTGTGGTGGTGGTGGTAGTAAAGGTCACCCAACCATCTTCGCCTCGTGCCTTGATTTCTTCGGCTTCTTCTACCTCATTTCCTTCTTCACGTGGGCCCCAAATCCCAAACCCAGAGTCCAAACCGGTAGTAGTGGTCTTTTTCTTGTTTTCTTTGTTGCTGTATGTCGTGTCTGTTGCTGAATCCTTCGCAGCCTTCGAAAAGGAGTCCATATGGGTGCTGGTGTTCGCACTACCGCCTCCTGCCCAGCCTCCGACTGAACTGAACCCACCAATGTTGGTCCTTTCCGTGGGACGAGCCTTACGCTCCGTCTTTGGTGCACCGTCATCCAGAGCTACGTCGCTATCAGTCCCCTCACTATCCCGCTTATTCTCGATTATGTTCCGCAAGTTTTGTCGTCTGTCGCGATCCTCTTCAATCTGTTTAAGACTCAAGATACTTCGCCGATTTTCTAGCACAACTCCCACGAGCATCCTACTCTCCTTTCGAATGTCCGCTTGTGTGAAGACTGTTCCGGCGTTGGGTCTGTGCTGTGTTAGGTAATATGACTCGCGCACTACTGGGTTTGCAGATGACTTACATGAAAAACTTCGCTGCTTCAGTAGCCCGTGCCAATTGGACGACATGCAACAATACGTTCAATGTTGATTTCATAGATTCTAGTCCGGCCTGCAATGGTCTAACGCGATGTCGCTGGAAATACCAGCGTACTTTGCTTTGGAACCTCGTAGAAGACCTCGTATCTTGACAACTTACAGATATGAACTTCGAAATGCTTTGGAAGACATCTTCGCAAGTATCTAGGATCTCGTGAACCACTTCGACCATGCGTGGTTGGTAGACTCGTGAGTCTCGTCGGAGAACGCCCTCTAGCTGATGGAGAACGGTAGCTAAAAGTGATATATCGTTTGCGATACTCGACATCTCTCTCTCTGCTTCGTAGAATGTGGAGATAAGATCGTAGATTGTTTGAGATAATTGGAGACCCGTGGCGGCGACGCCTGCCACCGAGGTAGCCACCGATAGAGGATCCATATCGAAGCGATCGATGGCGCATCGGCAGCCGTCGCAACGGAGACTGCTAACAATTATGACTCTTAAGTAAGAAGAGTCAGGAAGTTGAAAGACTCGGGAGGAGGATGTTGTTGCTTAGCTGGAGCACAGGCCCTCGGTTGCGCCTGCAGTGATCGACGGACTTGCATGAGGCTGCCCCTCACGTACGTCAAAGGTGAAAATCCACGCGGGATCCATTATCAGCGCCTTACATGAGTGAGGCAAAGAGTAGGCTTGGACCAATGAATCCCAAAGTCCCGGCGGGGTCTCCGATTGAGCGATAAGCGTCTACTTCTTCGAACCGTCTGCCCAAAGCGTCGCGAATTCGCACTGTTCCGTTTGCATTATATATAAAAAATGAGGTTAAAAGGAAGTACTTCGGCTTCGTGACCCTTGTTTCTGGAAGGCTTGGACTTTGGTGACCAATCAGCGCGCCTCAACATGGTCACAGAGCACGTTCACATCTGTTCCGATATGAACCCTGCGCAAAAGCCAGTCCTCTTCATCTTAGAAAGAGAGTGAGCCTTCTAAAATACCGGCGACAGTGAGCCGAACTGCTCGCGCACAAGTCGGACAAAGAGCATCATGACAGGAAGGCAGGCGCAGATAATGCCGATGTCCGGCTCAAAACTAGACAAGAGCAGCGCTCTATGACTGTTCATGATCGCTCTTAGCTGAATATTTCACGGGGATGGCGGTGGCAGTAACTACGCTGGAGACTCCGAATGTCAGCTGCTTTCCAGAGAATCTCAGCATGGTGAGGTCTCACAAAAGACCGAGGGGGAAACTTGCCGTTACTGCCATCTTCTTCTTGACCCGTAGCTGCAAGTTCCATATCACCGGCAGGTGGAAGCAGCAAAATCACGACTGTAGCAAAGGGGGCACAATAGCTTTCAGAGCTGCTGAATAGGCTGCCAGTCTGAAGGCACAAAGTTTGATGTTTGAGAAGCATTGACTCAGGGGATCCATGACTGGATATCAAGTCATGGGTTGCTTGACCTTATTATTCCAGGCGCATCATCATTCAGCAGCGCTATGAAGCAACGTTCGTAGTTCGAATTCAAGGATAACCTTTCGAAGTTGAAGTATTTCGGTTTCGCTTTGGCTTCGGAAAAAGAACGCTAGGCCGGAAATGGCTAACTCTCGGTCTTGTCGCGCCCAGACTTGACGCCAAGACATCTGCAAATTCAATGTCCCCAAAATTGGTCTCATATTCTCACCGTTCATCTGTTTGGGTCCCTAATGGAGTTCTCATTACATCAAAGGGTGGGTACTGTGGGCTACGTGTAAAAGATTGACGGTCAAAATTTGATCGTAGCCTCCCGCAGATGTCCTACATAGAACAAAGCTATACCTGTAGCTCTCCAACAAAACAAAAATAAGATGCAGGAACACTCGCCAGCAAAGTCTATGCCACCTTCTTAGATCCTCCTTTTTCTCCTGCTACACGAAGCGCGCTAGTAATCTTTCCACAAGACTACTCATGCCCCGGGCCAGTCCTGACTTTCTGCAACGGCACATTGGAGTTGCGATCGAAAAGCAAAGAGCAGATACATCTCATCGAAGCTCAAAGACCTTGTTGGCGATCATTCCATTATCACTCCGAGATGTGGCCAAAGCGAAAGCCTCACCGTCCATGAGACCATGGACATAGCACTCTCCAATGAAAGTAAAGTATTCCTCATCAGTCACCGGGTCCACCATCCTTCGTAGCGCGACAGGTACACTGCAGCCATAGAGAATGCATATGAGGTCTCGCTTCTTCGACATCTCTGGAGCCAAGCCGAGAGTGTTGCGTTCCGTAATGATGAGCCTTCTCATCCAAATTACCTCCTGAACTCTTTGAAGAAAGTTCGCGACGCTGGTGCTCCTGACGTCGCGTATCAGTGTATTGGTGTGTACGTGTCCGCCTTTGACGCTTTGTTCCAAAGCGGCTCTGCAGGCACGTGGATATAACATTGGAGGGTTCACCCCATTCCGCCCTCTGTCTGCAACCAATGTGCGCCAGAACTCATCCGGTGGCAGCGCGGACATATCGGTCCAGCCTCCAGCAGACAGCCATTCACGGAAGATGATGCCGTCAGCCGCGTAAGGCTTCTTCTCCTTGATGGAGTCGATGACGAACCCCTCCACATACATGCTGCGAACTTTTTGACCTTCCCCAAATTTCCATTTGTCAGTGACTTTGAATGACTTTGAAGCGTTGTAGTTCCGCTTGCCCAAGTCGGGTAGTCCGACCAACGTGTCAGCATTTGCTCTGCTATAGATTCCGTCAGGGCGCATTCCCCAGGCCGCTTTTGAGGTCGTGAGGAGCCATGACGGGCGCTCGGTCTCTGAAATGCCCTCTTCAGGCACCCACGGCCTACATATGATATCTAGGAACCCGTCGGTTTTGATTGTGAGCCGGAGGAATTCCTTGCATACCTCGATAAACGGCTTGTTATAGTCAACCATGAATCGAGTTCCTTCCGCGGCCTGCGTGAATCTGGGGGTTGCGAGCTTGACAAGCCTTTCCGTGTCGCTCTTCGCTGCAGATGTGGGCACGTCCCTCGCCAGATTCAGGACGCTGTAGATGGTATCGTGAGGTCGCGAAGTTTGGAAGTCGGAAAAAGTTGAGATCAAGGTCTCTAGTGAAAACAGTCGTTCGAGGACTTGTCCATCCTTGGACTTGCGGAACAGGTTACTGGAGGCCTTCGCAAGGCGAATCGCTCCCACGACGCTTTTTGATATCTCGTGACTTTCCGATTCGATGGCCTCGAAGAAAGAAACGGCGCAAGCGAAGTCGGACCAGTCAACGTGAGCGTCACCGCAATAGAGTGTGGCACGGACTGCTAGTGCGATCTCCTGAACGACCCAGCGACGCCTAAACCACGTCCTTTTCATTAGTGATGACAAAGCGATCCATTCTTGCGCATTTCTCTGGTCTGCCACCAAGCGGTCAACATCATCTAGGTTGACGATCCGGCTGATGAAGTTCAGAGCCAGGCTACTGTCCATACTTGCTTCTCCAAGCCAAACACATACTTGTGTTGCTCCACCATATATATCTGCGATAAGAGGGACTTGGGCGTTTTTTTCGTCATTATCACTTTGATTGATGCAGAGGGCGTCGATCCAAAGCTTTCTTGGCCTTTATTTATTTATTTGAAAATTAGTGGTTTTCTTTCAACGCAACAATACGCGAAGGGAAACGGCAGTGAGGGGGGGGAGATGGGGCGAGGGAGGATGGGGATTGTGGGGTGATCGAGAGCTTTTCGCTCCTGCAGCGTGTCTTGCAGATGACACTGCTCCAAGATGTACGTACCTGTCAGGGAGCCGCAGCTGATTTAGCGCTGCATGCAGATTTGGCCTGACATTGAAAGTAGTAGGAACACCCTTTGTAACAATCTTGATCTTGAAGCTGGCGTTCCCACTGCCCCAGTGATAAGATAAGGCTTCATATGATTGGATTTTTTCAAAAGAACTCGTTCCTTTTTCAAGAGAACAGGTCATCAGGGTACCTTCTATCGGTTCATTGGAGGAGCCTTGACGTAATGTGAAAATCCGAAAATCGCAGTATCCCGTCAACGGGCAGCTGTTGTAGAGATTCCTGTCAGATGCTGAAAGAGCATAAGTTGCCCATCTGCTGATACCCAAATCTCCAAGAACAACTCCCGCAAGCGTAGGTTGAGGGGGCACGATAATCGAACGATCGATGGATTGAGAGTACAAAGTCGGCTCTAGGAGTCCAGATGGCGCGTTGGAGAGGTGGTTAATTCTTGCATGATCCATGCCCAATAAACTTAGGCTGTCATGCATGGATTGGTAACCCTCATCAGAAACTATGCTCGATGAATCATCAGTCATAGCGTTCCCTTTGACAACGAAGATCTCTTCATGTTGCTCGGATTGCTTCGCTCCACAGGCCAATAGATTTCCGGATTTGATGAAGTCAACAAAACGATAGGCTGATGTATCTGGAAGGTGATTCCACACGCTTATCGGCACTGATACAAGTACTAGTGTGGAATGAGCCGAAAAAGCTGTCTCCATAGTGACCTCAAGGCGGCGAACGTCATCAGGAGCATCCGTTGAGAGCCAGTTCTTCCATAGTTCGACCTCCGGAACACTAGCCTCGGCTGCTAATGATACAGCAATTAATACACGAGGGCCTTCGGAAGGAGACGATAGTCCGGAAGCGCCCGTTTCTGACGACGGCACGAGGGAGGTTGAAGCAGACGTCAAAGGCCCTGAATCATTCGATCCTGATTCTGTCGAGGATTGTACGGATAATTGGAAATCGTTCACTGCCAGCTCAGATCTTACAGGCGCTAGAACAATACTAGATCTTGCGCAGTCTGATAAAGCAGCATATTGCGGCGTTTTGTCTATTCGCTTGCGATCATTGATTAGTCGCTCATAGAGCTGATTGACCGTAAAAGGCTGCCCATTGAAAGACTTTATCTTCCGTAGGAGATTTCTCGTGAATGATCTATCGGTAACGGCTGCGGTAGTCGTCTCTCGGCCACAAGCGGCGAGTAGCTCGTTGGTACCATTGATTGAAGCACGAGCTGCACTTCCAGCAAAACAGCAGTCCAGCAGGATTAGCACGTCGCATAAGGCCCTTTGAAGCATGGGCTGTAAAGTACTCCAGGAGAGAGTCGGACTCTTCGGTTTGCCAAGTGTCTTGCGATTGAGATATCTAAACTTGGTCAGCAGCCACTCTGCTCTGTTCGCCTCCCTTTACGTCGGGCAGTGGTAGAGTCGATCCAAATCTCAACAGCAAAGATGACTTCAAACGGCACGAACAATGATTTGACCTCATCCATTTCCGATATAAATGGCAACATCATCATCACAACAGACCAAAGCTGATTCGATGATGCAGCGTAACGAAATAGAGACATACGCTTGCCAGATACTACGACTGCTGGGATCATGGCGACCGTGACCTCCATAGTAGACAATCAAGAGCCGGTTCTCGCCCCCAAATTGTACCTTTACTTCTGAAAGCTTTCGCTCGAGAGCGTCTTCTGAATGTTGACTAGGTATTTTCCATATCTCTGATGAGTAGTTGAAGTGGTCTCGGAACAAAGCATCCATATCGACTAACTCGATATCCGTTCCAAGATCGTCCTCAGCCCAGTTCATGAGAAGAGCGTGGACTCCTTCATATTTAGCAGGATGCTGGGGAAAGACTGATTGACAGGCTCTGGAGAGATCTTGGGTAAATGTGTCCCATGATGAGAGGTGAGAGAAGTCAAAAGCCTTCGGGTGTGTATAATCTTGAAACACGTCGATGCCCTTTTGCAAATCAGTATGTGAAATTTATTGCTGAGCTTCTAAGGCAGAAGTGAGTATGTGCAACTCGATTGAAAGCAGCACAAAGGAGGAGAAATTAGACAGGATCCGACCCATCATTTACACCCTTTCACAGACAAGCAAAATTCTTCTGTCGCCCGTAGGAAGTGTGATACGAGAGAAATCAGTGCCGCAATAAGCATGGGGTGTCTTACAACGCCTTCGAATACATCTTCCTCGTCTTGTTCCATTGACGGTGGTGAGGGTGCTCTAAGATAAGCGTCAAGAGGATTCATACAGGAACGTCGGCTCTAGGAAGCAATGACGACCTTGTTCCGGTTAAAAGACCTGATGTAGGAATTCTCTCAGTTTTTCAAATTGATTCCAACGTGATCCTTTTATTCCCTAATTCTTACTCGTAGCCTTGCCATATATCCCAACCCCACCACACACAATTCATGCAACTAGATATGCCTAGCCCAGTCAAATTTCAGGCCAAGCGATCACACACTTAAAAATGGAGAACTGCCCCTGCAGCCTCGTAGCTTGCGCGAGGCCAGCTGTGCGGCTATGGAGGGCGTGGATGGGAATGGCGCCATGGTACTCGCTGGGCTGAAGTTTTGGCCAAATACCAAGGACACGAATGTGCGCGCTTCGCGTTGTAAGTCCTTAGTGGGAACATATCGAGACTGATAGTTCGCTAGACCCTCCAACTCCTGAGCCTCATGGCGCCCAGTGAGCACGGCAAGCTGGTAACATTATACCTTATGATCATGGGAGGTTGAATGATGGGGACAGGAAGCAACATGAGACGGTCAGAGTACTAGTACTCTACACCCGAGCTAGAAGTTTGACTTTCTCGGCTCCGTGGGGGATCATTCCTCCGCATCAATAACATGACAGCGATGGTAATCCTACGACTCTACGAGTGAGGAGTACCCTTTACCAAAATCTTCGATTGCTACGTATTGCAGCATTTTTCTACAGCCGCAGCATGAGACCAGTAGAACCGCCTCATCGGTGCCAAGAGAGCATGGTATCATCATACTGGCGTTTGCTCCGTTAAATGGGGCTGAGTGCCGAGACATGGCCAAGAAGAGGAGCCTCCGCCTGCTAACCTCAAAGACATCGTCTCACCATACCTACAATTATCAACTCATCTAACAACTGAACTCTGATACCCTAGATTTGCTTACTCCAGACGTTCCACCATGCTAAACTGGCTGGACAGCGGCGGGGGCAGCTCACAAAATGCGTCAAGCGGCTTCTACAACCTTCAGCTTGACATCGTCGGCTTGTAAGCCTGGCCCTTGCCCACGGCCTCATCCAAGCTCCAGATCGCTAACCACAATTCATTCAGTCTCGCTATCCTCGGTGAAGCCTGCGTCAAGGCAAATGCCCAAGTCTCCACCCTCTCCAAGTTCTCCCTCCTCCCTCGTCTCCTGCCCGCCCCTCAAGCTCTCATACGCACATCAAGACCTGAAAGCCTCAAACCCGACACTGGCAAAGTGGTCGGTGCCCGCAGCGGCGGCATTCGGGACTCCGTCAACCACATAGCACATCTAGTACACAGCGTACACCCTCTCCCAGCCTATGCAGTCCGCTGCGAACGCATCAGCAAACCCAATCCTACCTCTACAGTTTCAGCTTATACCTGGGGACCCCTAGCATGGCTTTCCTTACTGGGGACAGCTATGTCCGTCGCCCTACTGGCTCTCTCCATAGCACGGAATGATGGCTTTGCTCTACTCGCTACCATACTGCTGTCCCTCCTCTCCACCCTCATCGGCTTCGGCAGCCGTTGGAATCTTACCCTCATGAAAAGGAAACAGAAAAGGCGTGTGCCAAGAGACAACATCATAATTAAATATCCCCATGGCGCCTTCTTAGTGGTCAAGTGCGACGAAAACATTGCAAGAGAGCTATACTGGCATCCAGAAGAATGCCAGTACACCTTCGGCGACACAATCTACAGGATTGTCTCTCTCATCGGTACCATAACCCTCATGTTCGGCGTCATCTGCCTCGGTAATTCCACTCTACCCCTCCAAATTGCCTTCGCAGCCGCCTACATGATCCTCAACGCCGCATACTGGGTTGTGGCCGCCCTACCCCCACGATGGCACTGGGATCTATCATGCTACAAAGTAAAACGGGAAGTCTACGAAGGCGGAGAAGATCATGAGAATTTCACGCAGGCGTTATGGAAGGCTATAGCTATTACGAAGAGTGTGGAGTGGGTCAAGATTGGACAAATAGCGCCTGTCAGCGAAGCATGGAAGGCTTGGGTTGAAATGGCTGGAGATGTCGTGGAGAGGGACAAAGAAAACTGGGAGGCGGAGGGGTTGGGCGGAGAAGGCTCCGATGATGAGAAGGGAGGGGAGTTGCCGTTTTGGGATGCAGAGCGGGCGTTGACAGAGTTCTTGGATCCGGACGAGGCGGGAAAGAATGTCTGATCGGCAAAGAGGTTTGGCTGGTGTTAGGCCTATGTTGAGCAAGGAGTAATTGTGTGGGTTGGGAAGGCATGCGATGTTCATGAATCTACGACTGGCATAGCGAGCATACTGAGCATGTATAGGTTGATTTATGACAATATCTGAGTCCTTACCCATGTATCTCAGACGCCCTTGTCCATTTGGCTCATCTGCTTTAGAGGCAACCGAATCAACTATTTTATTTCAAAGCTGATGCTTGCTGTTAGCGGAGGTAGAAGAACAGGAACCTGCCCCCGCCCACGAAGGCGTTTCTGGGACATGGGAAAGATATGTTGAACCGACTCCAATAAGAGTTGCTCGAGCCTACTCCGCTCTCGCTGTATACTACCGTTAGCAATATCTAACGTCCACACTCTCTATGCGGTCGTTGGGGAAGATGTGATATAGCGTTACTACTTTACTTTACCGACTTCGCTATCCGCGTGTGAGAGTGAATACCTTAAGGTATGCACAACATGCGTTAGCGTGCTCTCGTAGGCTTGGCATTTTCCAACGCTTCAAAATGCCAAAATGCGGGGAGCAGACCCGAGCAAGTGCCGTCGACTTCTTTTTCACATCGGCACTCCACATCCAACGTCATTGCCGGTCCTGTTAAACATTCGACCTATTGTTTGCTTGAAAGGCTACCATGTTCTCCAAATTCTCCTTCTTCCATTTGCAATCTGTGGGCCTCGCATGTAAGTCGTTGAGGCTTCCTCGACCTCGACTCGGAATTGACTCCCAGACGCAGACCTGTACAATCCACCTTGACCATGGCTTCCAACCTGCACAGAGACCCTCCTTTCAGAGCAGAGCACCTAGGCTCTCTTCTACGGCCTGATAATCTCCTTCAGACACGCGCAGACTTGGACAATGGCAAGACTCAGCAGGAGCAATTGACGAGTATCGAAGACACATCCGTGAAGGACATTGTCGATACCCAGGTCAAGTTGGGCTTCCATCCCATCTCAGATGGCGAATATAGACGCCATAGTGCGTTCCCCGCCCGTGCCATACATCTAGTGTCTATGCTGAGCCGACACTGCAGTGTTCTGGGGCACCTTCTTCCCGGGCCTGGAAGGCTTCAAGGAGATCAAGAACCCCGACGTCGACATTTTCCGAATGTACATGCCCGACATTGCAGCCTTCACAGAGTCGGGGCACAAGCCAGGAGAAAGTGTCATCTGCACTGGCAAGATCAAGCACGTTGGAAGTACCTACGTCGATCAATGGAATTATTTGAAAAGCATTGTGCCAAAAGAGCGAGTACACGAGTGTAAGATCACTTTGGCGGCACCGGAATGGTACCACATGCGGTATAAGGAAGGAAGGGCGTACCCCAAAGACGTCTACCCAAGTGACAAGGAGTACTTTGCGGACATTGCAAATGCATACCAAACCGAGCTACAGATCCTCTACGACAATGGCTTGAGGAACGTTCAAATCGATGACCCCAATCTTGCCTGTAAGAAAGCATCACTCCTCATGGTACCATACTTGAGCTGACTGGATGCGCAGACTTCTGCTCCGAAAAAATGCTCGAAGGCTGGAAGAAAGACCCTTTAAACACCAAAACGACAGACCAAACCCTCGACGAGTACATTGACTTCTACAATGACTGCATCTCCAAACGCCCCGCAGATATGCATGTCGGAGTGCATATTTGTCGCGGTAACTTTGTCAACAGCCGTCACTTCTCGGAAGGCGGCTACGACCGCGTTGCAAAGAAGCTATTTCAGGACATGCACGTGAATACATACTATCTCGAATACGACACACCAAGGGCAGGGGGCTTTGAGCCGTTGAAGAGTTTGCCGAAGAACAAGAACGTGATACTTGGTGTCATCACTAGCAAATTCCCGGAGATGGAGGACATGGAGGAGATGAAGAAGAGAGTGCATGAGGCTGCTGACTTCGTGGCGGAGGGCAACAATCAGACTCGACAAGAAGCATTGCAGAGACTGGGTGTGAGCCCGCAGTGTGGGTTTGCCAGTCACTCGGCAGGGAATTCAGTCAAGAAGCATGATATGGTCAATAAGTTAACGCTGGTTAGAGAGCTGGCGGATAGTATCTGGCCTGGGGAGCCGTGATGCCTAATGATGGATCTAATGATAGGCAAACTCGATGCATTGAAGAGAGCTATTGAAAAAAAACAATTGTTCTTTTGGGTGCTGCCTGGTTCCTTCACCATGACTTGCCAGAGTATCGCTATTAACGTGACATCGCTCCTATATCTGGTCCCTTGACCTTTGCAATTCTTCCTTCTTGAGATCGGTCTTAGTCGAGAATTCGAGTCTCTATCTAGCGACTTGTTCAGCGTTCATGCCAAGCGAAGTATTCCGAGTCCGCTTGTGCTTACTAGAAAAATATATACGATCGCTAAATATTGTGCTCAGTGATGCGCGATGCTTAACCATCGTCTTGTTGACTCGATCCTTTCTCCTTGTCTGTCGGCACAATTCTGCAATCACTTCGAACAAAATCGAACCCACGACGGGATCTATTCCCCTAAGGTGCTCTCGTCGTGCATCATACTGTTCCTGGCACCCGTACCTGGAGGAGGTCGGGACACTGCCTGCATCTCTCATCGCGATTCACACGAGGAAGGGGCACTCGGATGGATTACATATTTCTTGCACTATTTGCGATCCCTGCGGGTAGGACGGGTCTGGATCTCGTGCGACAATAAAACACCCATCACGACGTTGCGAATCGAAGTCCGATCAGAGTCTACAAAAGAGGGAGAAGAAAGAAAGAAAGAAAGGCTTGTGTGATGATTCCTTTGAGCACACAGTTCTACACACTGAGAAACGGCACCAACTGTTCGTTGCCTTTCCGTACGGTCAACACAGCGACTTGACATCCCTCCTCTACCCGTCCCTCTCTGATTCTCTCAAATAGCATACCATACCACCAGCATTTCCAACCCAAGCCCCCCTCATATCATCTCCACACCCTCGACCGGAGACATACCGTGCAATCCTTCTCCGCGATCTCGCCCGTACGCCCGAGCGGGCGGCACGGGGAGCGCCATGTCGATCTGTGTTTCCGTGGACCCGCTACGCTCAGCGTAGCTCTCGCCGTCGCCGGCATCGAGACCGTCGTCTTTGTCCCGGCCCGCCCCGGCTGCGTCTTCCGTTCCGGCTGTGCGTTCTCCCGCGCCCGGGATTCCGCCCAGCTCGATGCCCTCCGCTGCGGTTCCTGGGCGCCGTCGTGGTCGTGGGGAGTGGAGTTTGGAAGAGGCCCAGACGGCGAAGAGGATTAGGGCCGCGGCGGAGAAGATGGCGATGAGGAGTAGGAAGGCGATGTTTCCGTCGTTGGTGGAGCGGATTTGTAGGGGTTGGTGAGGGGGAGGGTTGGAGGGGGTTGGGTGGGGCATGGTGCTGGATAGTTGGGTGGGTGAGGGTAGGGGTTGATTGTCGAGGTTGATGCGGTTGGAATGGGAGTTGCTGTTGTTTTGGAATTGGAGTTTTTTGAGGGAGGTTGGTGTTTGGAGGAAGGAGAAAGGGAGGATGGAAATATGGAACTTTAGTACGAAACATAAGCTGTGTTGACAAGAACGGTGTTATACATGCTGGAGTGTTAAATCATGACTAAAAGTCTCCGTACTTCGCCGTGAATCTAGAACCTTGACCCACTACCATCCCGTCTCTTCTCAGCCGGCCCCCTATCTATCTAGAAATATGCACCGGATCCGGAGAAACCGGAAGACCAGCATGGCCTTCGCCAGCCTCCCCAAACTCACCCTCACTGCCCGGACCTCCCGCATCAAACGTATACGCCGGCGGCTTCGGTCCCTCCTCTTCGACCCCATCATGCCCGCTCCCATGAACCTGCTCGGGCGGAGCGGGAGCCACACCTCCTTCCTCTTTAGGCGTATACCGCGGCAAAGTGTCCACAGAGTCCACATGCCGACAATTGCGTCTTGCGGTGCCGGCGGCTCCTGTCTCGGCGTCACGAGGGCGCCGGGCCCGGAGGTTGGCCGAGCGGGGCCCTTGGCCGCGGGCCTTGCGTCGCCCGCCGGCGTAGACGACGTAGAGGACCATGAGGACGAGCAGGCAGACTGCGGTGACGATACCGAGAGTTTTGAGAATGGTGGCTGGTGGGAAGGAGCGGGGTTGGTAAGCCATTGGGTGCGGATGCGGAGCTGTCTGCGGGATGCCTAGTGGAGTAAGTCGAATTGGTGGATAGGAGGTGAGACGAGTGGATGGGGAGGAGAGATTTAATTTCCTTGAGGATTAAGACTGTCGAAGGACAGTGCGATGAAAAGAAAGCGGGATGGGAGAGATGAGTGAGTAGTCTTTGTAGAGCGCAATCCTGTATATATATCGCACCCGAAGGGAGAGCTTATAACACAATGCGTTGTTTCCGAAGATTGGTACTAAATCCCAATGAGGTGTAACACAATGAAGTCTCGAGGGTGGACAAAGCCATTGTGTAGCTGAATGATACAAAGAAGAATGGTTCGCCCTGTGGGCCAATCAGCTTGGGTCGGCCAACAGTGGCTTTGGTGCCTCCATCTTGGATCGTCAAGGTTATATGTACTCCACGGAGAGGCCCCGCAGACCTGCAGAACCCAGAAGTAATCCTAATTGAGTATGGAAAGGGAAACGAAGAGAGAGAAATCGAGGAGGTATATGAGGCTAGCGGTCAGACCAAAGATGGCACAACAAAGCCAGCGAACGTGGAACTGCTGGCTAGCTGCGGAGAACCGAAAAGATTCCACAAGATCCTTTCAGCACGTGAGAATCTGGCTTAGAAGGATATGAAGGCATTTCAGCCGAAGCCGCCTTGGAATTTATGAGTGTATCAAAGAAAGCTGAAAACCTAGCGGCATAATTCGTCCCAAGCCCTCACTGCTAATCTATTTAGTTCCATTTGCACTTTCTTTACCACTCAGCTCGCAGAATGCCTTGAAGGTCGTGAAGTCCTCGCTTTGGCTCTCGAGAACACACTCGGCCGTGGCCCCTACGAAGTAAACAAACCCTGCTTTCACCTCTTCAGTCTTCGGCCCGACGGAGATTGTGCCCTCGCCATTAGTGCAGATGAAGATGCTTGGACCTGCTATCGCTTCGAACGTAGCTTTGGCGCCTTTCTTCTTCAGCTCGGTCTTCACAACGCTGAACTCCTCAATTGGAGGGTCGTAGAGGATGGCGGATGACGAGGAAGAATATGCGGTACTGTTGAGAGTGACGTAGGGGTAGTCGGTGGGGTGCATCTTTTGCTCGGAGATGGGAGCGTAGGAGTAGGTAAGCATGGTTGTTAAAGTGGGGATGTCTTGGAATTTGGGGGTGAAACCGGCTCGGACGACGTTGTCCGAGGAGGCCATGCATTCGATGATGTCTGCGTATATGATAAGACTGGTATCGTACCCGAGCAGTGGACAAGGTCGACTTCGCGAGGATTGGATACAGAGTTTGACTCACCTCCGCTAAGGTACGCATGGATATCATCTGCCTTCAAGAACATAGCCTCGCCAATCTCCAGCTTCACATAATTGAGAAAGAAAAGCACAAAGAGACCAATATCTCCCTCAAACTGGCCATTCAGTCGGATGACCAGGTCTGCGAGTTCTTTGCCTCCATTCGAAGGTCCCCCGCCACCTGCGAATTTCTCACCTTCCTTCTCGGCGGAAGCCACAAGCTCCTTAGCTGCAGAAGCGATGGTAGACTTATCGATCTTCATCAGAGTGGAGAAGGCCGCTTGTAAAGCTTTCTTGTTCTTCTCTACATCTTTCTCGCTGTCAGATGTCTCGTGTCCGCTCACAGCGTTCTCAAAGTCTTTAGCTGCAGATTCGCCGATAAGGCTGCGTAATGATGAGACTGTAGAGAGGAAATGTGAAATCTCTTTTAAGGGGCGGAAGCCGCACATTCCGTCAAAGGGTGTGACGGCTATGGTCATCTCGGGTTTGTGGTTGTCATCTACAACCAGACATATCAGACCTGTGAGCGTGATCTGGTTAACGGATCATACCTGGGTAGTTCTTGGGGTCCTTTTCATGAAGCTGCTCCGCCAATTTCTTGTTTGGATGTGCTTGGATACTCAATGCTTTGCGGATAGAAAGAACCTTAAACAGAAACGGTAGCTTCTCGTCATATTTTTTGCTAATCTCCGTTGACATAAGTGCTTGGTTGTCTTGAACCATGTCAAGAAGGCTCCTCTGCGTCTCTACATCTTTGGAAGGCAGAGATGGGTGCGTTCCCATCCACAGCTCCGCATATGGCTTCTCTTGCTGAATGGAGAGCTTGTTCGAAGGGGTGGCTGCCGCGAATTTGGCCGCTGCCGATTCGTGTCCAACCTTGCCTGCATTTCATATCAGAACAAGAACCCTCTTCAATCAGGGTAGCTTATCTTACCCCATTCGTAGCTATTGACTCCTGTGAAGGTTTAGTCACGACGTTTCAAGCAAAAGTGGAGAGCATACCGCATTGCAAGCGGATGAGTGGAACTTGCATCTCCCTTGCTACTGTTTTGATGATCTATAAAATATAGTTACAAGTTCCTCTTGGTGGAGGTCTAGAATCTTCGCCTGCTTTGCGGAAAGGTTGGGAATGACTTCAACTCCATGAGTTGCTCATCGAAATGACGGCGGTTCCAGCCTTACAGCCTTACAGCCAGGGCTTGCTGCTAAACCCGGAGCCTTAACTCCTAGCGGCAGTGAGGCAGTGTGTGGTCTGTTGCAAGATCCGAAGATACTCGCGGAACCCTTCATTCATTTCCCCAATATGGCGGCTCGTAACCGTCCTCGAGGTGGGCTGACGAAGGAGGATGCCACGGACGCACACGAAGAGCGGAACATGTGGAGTCAAATTGTCACAGACATCAAAAGGCTCAGGACGACCCATGCCAAGGCCGCTGAAATCGCGAAAGCCCAAGTTGACATGGAAGCGAAGATTGGGAAGAGTCAGTAGCAGTCTCCTTTCTGGCTTTAAGGTCCATCTTGAAAGTTCTGCCACGGAAGTTGATGCACTCTTCTGATCTTGACTGTTATTTTGCCGCATCGATTTGCTTCCTTCGTCAACAAGGCGCAGACGCGTATCACATTATCCATGTGATGTTTAAGGCCTTTGTTGGCCCCAGCCAAGATTTCTGCAAATTTCCCTTACAAAATAGCTACACTACGTTATCCTCTTATTTTCGTTAGCGTTTGCCCGACTTCCATACTGACTGCGGGCTTGCTCTAGCACCTACAGTCAAGGAAATTGACGAGCTTCTCGCCTTATACCGTGAAGGGGTCAGGCTGGCGGAGGAAGAGGAGAAGATCCTCAAAGAGGAGCCTAACGATGTGATCAAAAATATCGAAATCCTCGCCGCTCTCCGCTCAGCCAGTGAAACCGAGCCCGTCCGGCCACCTCAGGCAGTGGCAAAATCACGTCAAGTAAAGCGACAGAAAATCGAAACAGATGGTGCAGCAGACTCTCCGGCTCCACCCATTCCATCCCCGAGTGTGGTTTTGCCTGCCGCAAGGGTCAAGGAGATCAAGAACGTACGCACCGGGTCCGTGCCGAGAGAGGTGAAGCAGGAGCCAATTGTCAAGGTGGAAGAGGGTTCGGAGGGAAGTAAAGGGCCAGCTGGGGAGAGGGCTGGAAAATTCTTTGTCGGGGCTGAGGTTGCGTATAAGCAAGCGAAGCAGAAGGAGGATGGAAGTCAGTGGATACAGTGCAACATCACTTCTATTTCTGAGATCGCGAACAAGAAACGGTAAGTCTGGTCGAATCTGACCTCGAATTTTGTTCCTTTGCTGACTATAGACCAGATACGAGGTGCAGGACCCTGAACCAGACGAAAATGGTGCTCCAGGTCAAGTCTACAAGACTACAGCTGCAGCATTGATAGCAATCCCTGGGCCCGATGCCCCACTCCCAGATTTCCCCATTGGAAAGCAAGTGCTTGCTCGGTATCCAGAAACGACTACCTTCTACAGAGCGGAGGTGAAAGGAGCAAAGAAAGATGTGTATAGATTGAAATTTGAGGATGACCAAGACCAGGAAATGGAGGTTGGACGGAGATTCGTCTTAGATGTCAGCAGCAAGTGAGGCTACGTCTGCATGGCGTCTGGATTGGGGAGGAAATGGATCATGTCATCTGAGATACCCAACTGCATATTTGGATCAATTGACAGCAATTTATAATATTTATAGACAGGATAGCGAGCGACAAACCGAGAATCTTCGTTCAACAATACCCTGCAGCACCTGATGCACGCAGACCTCAATCCCCTGAGCCAGCATAAGCCATAAGCCAAGAGCTATAAATCACGCGTCTTCAGGCAATGCTTCCCCTGCTTTCATAGGCAATGTAATGCAAAGTAAAGGGGTCAAGCCTCGTGGCTGATGATTTGGTTAGACTAAGGGGGGAATGGAAACGGCGGCGTAAGATTGGCGAAAGGGGCGCCTCCCGAGAGCCTGCATGTCAGCGTGTTTCAAAATCCATCGTTTCAACAAGCCAAAGCAACCTTCCATAAACTCCATACTCAACATATATGCGCAACGCAAGTTCCGTACGAGCAACTTTGACAGCTCCATCTGTTTTGCGCAAGACGAACAATAATCGCGTCCTCATTGCCTCGCTCCTCTAAATATTAAGCTTCAAACGGCAATCCAATCTAATACATCAACGAATCAGACACCAGAAGGATCATTGGAACGACAAGGCTCGAACCCGAAGGACTTTAGGCTATCAACACCACAAGCATGGGCGGCTCGGTCTCAAAGATCATGGGCAAAATCTTCGGATCGAAAGAAATGCGCCTGCTCATGCTGGGCTTAGATGCCGCAGGAAAGACCAGTAAGTTTCGGTCACTCTAGGGTCCACCACCGGATGCCTGCGCAAGCCCAGACTGACGGAGAATGGCCTATAGCAATCCTCTACAAGCTGAAGCTTAACTCCGACGTCACTACCATCCCTACTGTCGGCTTCAACGTCGAGACTGTCACGTATAAGAACGTCAAATTCAACGTTTGGGATGTGGGAGGACAGGATAAGATTCGGCCTCTTTGGAGGCACTACTTCTCTGGTATGGCAAGATCCATTCATGCGGAGGAAATGCTGCCTGAAAGATGCATGGCTGACTGGGAACATTTACACAGGAACACAAGGTCTCATCTTCGTCATCGACTCGAACGACCGA